ATAGAAAAGTGCTATCTTGCAGGTATAATGGAAGAATAGTAATAAAGAAAAAGCTATCTTTCAAGAAGCTTTCTATTATTTCTCATTTTATTGCTCAGAAACTATAATACCCAGCCAAATAACTCCAAGAACATATGAAAACCATTGATTTATCCATCCTGGTAGAGCAGAATTATATTTTTAAATGACAGTGCAAAAGTAAATGGAATGGAAAACTCACAATTAACAAACTGCCATTTGTAAAGCCAGGGCAGGAAGTAGAAAGATAAGTGTTCTGTATTCTTCTGATATTCTGCCTACATTTTCCCTCTTCCATTGGTACACCTCATAATAGGAAAGAATTTTAGTTTGGGCCCATAGAAGGGGAATGAAGGAGCTTTAAATTCTGCAGATCCAAAGCTATCTGTTTCCCACCACAGGTCTTCTGGTTTCAGTCTGCATCATTAGCAGTGATGCTCTGTCTGCAGAACTTTCTACTTCATTAGAGGAGCTCATCTTCATCAGGACAGAGGCAACGCCACCCCATCCAACCACTTTTGGATGGAGGAGGTTAGGATCACTTCCTGTGAGGTTTAAATCATGTGTTTGGATTCATAGAAACATCCCTAATTAATATGTGGCTAAGTACAGTAATACAATAAAGGTATTTTAAATTAGTTGACTCTTTTGTATAGAGAATCCAGTAGAATGTCCTTTTGGGTTTTTCTAGAACACTATTGAATTGAAATCCAACAGTCCAGCCATTCATTAATGTTAAGATAACGGTGCTTCTATGTAAAGGCAATGTGATATAATGCAAACAGGCTTAAACTAAGATTAAATTAAGTAGTTTTATTTATACCTACTCAGACACCAACCAGATGCAGACTTCATTAAAATGTAACACAAAGAAAAATAGGCTACTCATTTCTGTAGAAAGAATGAATGTGTAATTCATCTCTGTTCACTTTCCTCTGTTCATAATCATAGAATTTTCTAGTAATAATGAGATTTGAAGAAAATCAGCAGAGACACACTGTGAGGTCCATTAAAGGGGGGGGGAAAGCTGGCAGTCTTAAAAAGTAGGGAACAAACTCCCTTGCTATTCTCTTGCTCACTATACTTAGCCTTACTTCTAAGTATGCAAGTATGTAAAGATTCATAGAGCTGAAAAGCCACAGAGCCCAGTGCCCTGTTTAGTGCAGGAATGCAAATTAAAACATCCCCAAAAATTGTTCTGACTTCATTTGAAAATTCCACTGATGAATAACCTACTCCCTCTCTGGATAGTTTGTTATACTGTGAAATGCTTTTACTGTTAGGAAGTTTTTCCTAGCTTTCAGTTGGAATCTGCCTTCCTATAATTTGAATCCATTATTCCATACCCTTCTCCCTGGGATGATTTAAGTAGTTGAAGAATGTTGTCATGTCCCTGTCTTCTCCAGGCTAAATATTCTCAAGTATTTTACCCTTTGTAGGATTTAGCTTTTAGTTTCTTGATTATCTTCTTTGCTCCTCTCTGAACCTGTTCCATTTTGTCTAAATCCTCCTTAAGGTATGGTGCTGGGCACAACACTCAAGGTTTGATTTGACCAACACAGGACAAAGTAGAATGGTTAGTTGTTAGATGATTTCTGTTCAACAGAAAAGCTCCTTGTTTATAGGCTGAGTCAGCGGCAGACGTGGAATCAGAGTGATGAGATCAGAGTGATGCCAGCCCCTTTTCTACATGTATCATGATGTCACCTGCCTGCACAAAAGGGATGGAGCTTGTAGTGTGATACTGTAATGGATGAAAGCATCAAAGGCTGCAGGAACTGCTGGGCTGAGTTTGCATATTCCTCTAGTTAATTTTTTTTTAGCCAATATTTGATGAGCCCAAAACTAAAGGAAAGACTATTTTGTGCATTAGCAAAAACTGGAGCTTGTTTGGCCAATTCCTAGTTTATTTTTAATATTTTGTTTAGCTTTTGTTTTTTTTTGCCTTGCTCTTCTGATTAAATGGACATGGTATAAAAACAAGCAAGAACAAGCCAAGAATCTACAAAGAAACTATGCATCCTTATTTGTACATCACACCAAGTCACTGCTGCAATCATACCTACAACAAAAACATGATTTCAGACTGGCTAACAGCAGCACATTATTCCAAGCCAAAAACAAATAAACCAATACTATGATTATGATTTAACACAATGTGTTATTATAAAGATGACAATGAAACTATTAGCTTATTAACAGAACTAAAAGAGATTGTCTAAGTTGTTATACAACACTCAGGACAGAGAGAGGTTCAGAAAGTCAAGCTGCTTGAGGTCCAGAGTTATAGTGGCTCATTGTTGGATTGTATTAAGCCATGATATCTTGTATTTTTAGTGTGTTGAAATTCAGAATGGCTGGTTTCACCAAAGCAATCTAATAGACCTCCTATTGAAAGGACAGCAAAGAACAGATTAGGATATTTCTGGAATTTGCAGTTGGAATATCACCATCATGGACAAGATGGGAGCTGGAGAAAGTCCTAAATGAAACTCATACTCATTAGTTATTTCCAAATGGTCAGAAGAAACCTTGAGATTATTATCCAGGTATTACTTGAGAGAGCAATACATTGCCCAGTACATTGCTATGAGAAAGTCCCTATAGATTTGACTTAAATTATTTTGTGAACCCACCCAGGGTGATCTAAAATCAGGAGGAGTCTGGTAGCACCAGTGTGGTTTGTAAACCATTGTTTATGATGATACGTTAACTTAGCCATTTGTGCCTTATTTGTGCAACTAGGATTAAACATA